CCCCCCGCCCAGCATGGTTCAGCCACCGGTGGCCGATCAGCAGCCGGGCGTGGGCATTGCCGCCGCCCTGGCCGGTGATTCGCCGGGGAAGGTCCTCCCCACGGCCGAGGAGATCATGCACTTCCTGCGCGAGACCCTCTTCGCCGGGACCGACCCCTCGCTGGGCCCGTCGCCTCTCTTCCACCACTTCCCGACCCCGAGCCAGGGGGTGGTGATCCAGACCAGTGTCGGCACCTTGCGCCAGGCTGTTCGGCCGGGGCTTCGGCCACTTGTGCTCGCCTGCATCCGAGCATACGCCCTGTCCGACAACAATGATGCCTACCTCCCGCTGAGCATGCTCCTCTGGCAGGCCCGATTGGCAGCCAGCCATGGGAGCACCCCTTGCCAGGGGTCCGCACCCGAGGCCGAGGCCGATGTCGAAGTCGACGCCCGGCTTCTGAAGTCCCTGGACCACCCCTCGCCGGTGGATGACTGTGTGATTTCCTTTGGAATCTCGGTTCTGCTTGATGGTGCGTCACAATTTCCCCCTTCTTCCCCTCCTCCTCCCTGCTCCTCCTCTTGCTGCTGCTGCTGCTGCTGCTGTTGCTGCTGCTGTTGCTGCTGCTGTTGCTGCTGCTGCTGCTGCTGCTGCCCTTCCTCTCCGGGGAGGCACCCTGCTCCCGGCGTGTTTGGACGCCTCGCGCCCGCGGGCCCGACACTTGCGTGCACCAACTAACCACACCCCTCCTCTGGGCCGCCCTCCGGCCCGGCCTGCCGCCCCTTGTCTTCCTCCTCAGTGGACCCGGCTTTGGCGGAGGACCGCCTTCAGGAGGAGCTCTGCCACACTGGCATCTGCCGGATCCGGTGCCTGAGAATTCGAGAAACCCCAGGCCCCGAGTGGCATTTGCTCCCCGACGAGGAACCAGCCAGCACGGGCTGCACACACACTGGGCCTCCTCCGCCGGGTGTTCCGCCCCGGCCGGCGGCCGTGGTCCTGCTGCGTTCGGGAGCGGTGCTGCTCATCCATCCGGACATGCACCTGCATACGGTGAGCGATGTGATCTTCTGCCGGGCGGCGCACAGCCTGGTGGGAGCCCCGCAGTCGGCGGCACTGGCCACCCTGCCGCCGGACTTGCCGCCTCCCTTCCCGGCCAGCCTGCTGGCCGGTGTGTCGGTTGACACCCTCAGCACCCTGCAGTCGCATCCCTCACCGGGGCCCAAATCCCCGCTCATGGCTCGGGTTTCCTTCCATGAGGCGGTGACCGGGCTCGGGGTGGCGTCCGGCTTCGAGGAGCCGGATCTGTCCGAAAGCCGGCGGCTATTTGTCCTGTACCAGGCCCTGCGACATGTGGCGGATATCCACCGGGCCGGTCTGCAGCTGGGTCCTCTGGCCCGGTCGCCGGGGCTCTTTGGCATCGATCGCACCGGCTGGGTGCATCTGCCTCCGATTCCGCGGCGCCCGCTGCCCAGTCCGGTGTATGGTGCGACTTTTCCTCCCCTCCTTCGGGCTTCCTTCTCCTCCGGGGCCTCCCTGTCCTTCTTCTTCTTCTTCTTCTTGCATTCCCACCTGTCCCGCGACTGTTCGACTCCCGGCTGACCACCCTCCCCCCCCCCC